CCCGTAAAGATTTACAGCCTCGGAAACCCTGTACAGGGTCGCTATGGGTCGGAACCGACTCGACGGCACTTAACAACAACAACAATTAGAATCGATAAGCCTGTAATTTCAGACCCAAAAGATGGGAGTCTGTTTAGACTACTACAACATTTTCATCTTCCTAGAATGAATTAAATAAACAACTTTCATGTTAACCAGTTTTGACTGTGCACAAGACCCAAAGTCCCCAATCTAGAAAGGCTACTTAGAGCAAGGAGTTAAGTGGATTGAGGTTTTCACTTGCCCAGATGGAGAAATGTACAGAACTGGTGACCCTGGCTATCTGCTAAGACTCTAAACGTACAGTCTGACAACATTTATGGAGCAATCTTCTTTGAAATACTACTGATTAACAATTACTACAGAACATATCTCTTTACTTGAGATCATTTACTTTATAGCACTGATTTTTCAACCTCAGAACTACTAACATTTGTTGTTGCTAGGTGCCACAGCGTTGGTTCTGACTCATAGAGACAAGTATGTACAAGAGAACAAAACCCTGCCCAGTCCTAAGCCACCCTCATGAGTCCATTGTTGCAGCCACTGTGTCGATTTACCTTGCTGACAGGTTTCCCTCTACTTTACCAAGCATGATGTCCTTCTCTAGGAACTGGGCCCTTCTGATTACATGTCCAATGTATGTCGAGACCAAGTCTCACCATTCTGGCTGTCCTTCTTCCAAGACAGATTACCATACTTTCATGCAAGTAACATTTTGTTGCTGCTAACTGCTATCGAGTTGATTCCGACTCACAGAGACCTGGGTATAGGGTTTCTGAGGAGCATCTGGCAGGTTTGAACCACTGACCTCGTGGCTCACAGTACAGTGCTGATCCTACAGCATCACACCAGGAGTCCACAAATAACACTAGTGGTGCTTTGTTTTTGAATTCCACGTGAACATGTGCGCTATTTTCAGAAGATGTTGCTGCTAAATGTCATTGAGTTGGTTCTAACTCATAGTGACCTGATGCACAACACAATAAACACTGCCGGTCCTGCACCGTCCTCACAATTGTCACCCCTGAGCCTGCTGCTGCTGCCACTGTGCCAATCCAGCTCGGGGAACCCTACCAATATTTTTATAGATTATGACTTAAAATTTCAATTTTTCTGCCCAACAGATTTCATCTTAAGTCTTTGTTTTGGTGTCTGTTGATGCGGAGGTTTGATAGCATAGCCTAGTTCCTAAAAGAGTCCTTATCCCAGTAGGATTCCCTGCCTACTCTGCAAACCACTTTCTTCAATACAGACAGAAATCACCTGTTCTGCACGGGAAACAGTACTCGCCAGGGTAGCCAGCCACAGCCTACGAAGTGTGACGGTCGCTTAAGCAGGTGAGGCCTGGCTGCCATTTGAACCCCTCCCAAGACCCAGCACAAACAACAGAGGATAAGCTTGGGACCTGCAGGCAGAGGGGTCACATGTCACTCGACTAGCCCACAGGCCAGGGGCCCCATGCCTGCATTATCCTGCAGCCTGGCTTCACCTGGGACCAGCCCAGCCATACTCAGGCTGTGACAATCCCCACCTGTCTGCAGAGCAAGTGACCAGGATGCAGATTGGCTCCAAGAAACTCTACCTCTCTCAGGCCCGGCCACAAACTGCTCCAACTGTTTATTTTTCAATTACCGAGTTGCTACCAAACAACTCCTGGTGTGGCACTGTTGGATAAGCATTTGACTGCTAACCATGAGGTTGGTGGTTCAAATCCACCAGCCGCTCCTCAGAAACTCTATGCTGGATTGCTGAGTCGAAATCGACTCGATGACACTTCACCACCACCACCACCACCACCACCACCAAGGAGTTTTCTGGGAGCACAGTGGCTCTGTAGGAGAAGCACTGGACTGCAAACCTCAATGTTGGTGGTTCAAGTCCACCAGTCACTCCGAGGAAGAAAGATGAAGCTTTCTGCTCATGCAAAGATTTACAGCCTCAGAAACTTTATACAGGGGTCGGTATGAGTCAGAACCAAATCTACGGCACTTAACAATAACCAAGGAGCTCTGGTGGCGTTGTAGGATAAGCAGTGAGCTACCAACCCAAGCAAGACCCATATTTCAAATTCACCAAACGTTTCACAGGAAAAAGATGTGGCTTTCTGCTCCTATTGTAAGATTTACAAACATACAAACCCTATAGAGGATTGCTAGGGGTCAGAATCGACTGGACAACAGTGAGGGAGGTGGGGAGGTGGGTTACCACCAGACTTGCTCCATGACTTCCTAATCGTGGCTTATAGCTTTATTAAACAAATAGGATCCAAACTAACATTTTTTGGCTATTGAATGAACCCAAAATTCACTTCTTGAAATGTCACAAGACATGCATGGTGTTAAGTCTGAGTGCACTGTGCCAGAATTTCCCCTCACAATTTCATCATTTCTGCTCATTATAGGTGTGTGCATGCTATTTAAGTGGGTGTGCTACTTGCATAAATACACAGTTCACTCTTCAGACAGTGTGTGGAATATTCACTGTATGCACCTACCACATACTGTCTTCCTGTGTCAATGCCCACACTGACGGTTGGGGCTGGACAGCTTTGTTGGGGGAGGCTGTCTTGTGCACTACAGGAGCTCTAGCAGCACCCTGGTCTGTCCCCTGATGCCACCTACATCCCCCAGCTATGACAATCAAAAAGACCCAGATAGTGTTGGTATTAGCAAAACCATTTCCAGTTGGGAACCACTGCTCTAGAGGGCAAGGGAAAGCTGATGCCCGGACTCGGCTTCTGTGGGGAACGTCCATGCCATTGGCACACTGAGACTTACACAGGGCAACCAACATCTGGCCATTCACAGCATGAGAGGCCTTCCTCGAATGTGGGTGACCACAAGCCATTTGCGAGTGGTGGAAACGGTCAAGAAGACGCAGTCTACACATTGCAGAGAGAATTATGAGGTCATTTTACTGTCATTAACAAGAATGACCTGAATCGTAGTGCTTCAATGACAGGTGGTCTCAGCATTAGAAAGATGCTATCTGTAAGGACCGACTGAGGCAGTCTACGAGTCCGAAACATACCTCTCCTCCAGGGCTACCTTATACCAGTCTGTCCTTTGAATAGTTTTTCTTTTACCTGCTTGCTTGTATAGTAGCTACATGGTTTCCTTCCAGTTATCCCAATGGAAGCCCTTTCATTTTATGAAGCGGTATTGTGGTGTATGCCACAAAGCATACTATCAAATTTCTCAGCCAGTGCTTCAATTCCCACCCCTTCAGTTGTGTCGCAACTGTCATCTCGAGATGCAGCGCTCTCTATATTTTGTTCTCGTCTGACGGTCTTTAAGCATTTGTCAAGTCTCTTGATAAACAAATCCACATCCTGCATCTTCATGCCGATGGCTGACGCGGCATTGAGGTAAGCACAGGGGTAGCTGTCTGTATGTGACATGAAGCCGCTGAAAGTGTAGCCACTCACGGTCTGCACTGTCCCCAGGGGCACCACCCTGAAATGGAAAGGTCACCAATTTAGTTTGCCTGCTGATGCTAGAAGAATGGCATCCACAAACGACAGCTTTCTCGGTTACTAAAGGCTCTAAAGGAGTCAAAAGTGCAGGCAGTCTGAGCCAGTCTTAAACACAATTACACAACCAACTGCTAGAGCGCATGGAAAAGTCCTGCTGCTGATCACCATTTACTACACACAGCTGCCCACAGGCTCTCGGAATCACACACTTTCACATCTTCAAAGAAGCTGAAGGAAATGATTTCCATTTCCGTGCCGTATCTGGGATCGGACTTCATACACACACACGCAACTGGGGTACTGAAATATCAGTTAACCCACCTCAGATTAACTGTTCCATGTCAGACACCAAATAATCAACAAGGCTACGCAATCAAGGGTATTTAAGCAAGAATCCAGGAGAACTTCTATAACTGCTTACACTGGGGTGGGTGGTGGTGGTGGATATTGTGTGCCAACAAGAAGTCAGTTCTGACAACAGGGACCCTGTACAGGGTTTCCGAGGCTGTAAATCTTTAAGGGGAAGAAAGCCTCAGTTTTTCCCCACAAAGGGGCTGGTGGATTCAAACTGCTGACCTTGTGTGTAAGCAGCCCAATGCATAACCCACGACACCACCGGTGCCCCTTTACGGTGCACAGTGGTCAGCAAACAGTAACATTCAGCACCTGCATCTTTGAGGCTTGAGCTCACTGGCATGCTTACAGAGCAGCAACTCTCGATGGCACGCTTTCAAAAAAGAAGTCAGTGAACACCATCAACTGAAACATAAAAAATGGGGCAGCGCTACAAGCAGAGTCAACAAAAGCTTTGGAAGTGTCAAGACCATGCACAGACACACACACACACACATATAATCTAAGTTGTTCATAGAGGTAAAAGCTAAATTATCTAAGAATTTTCTTTTTGGTGTGCTTATCTCTAACCTCTGATAGTCAAAGAGAAAGTCTTAATTAGAAGTAATATGAACGAATATTTTAGGAAGATTCATCGCTGACCTCTGGGAACCACTGGGTATGGGTGGTGGGGTTCTCCCTTTTTCAGGCCTGTGCTCTAAGGTAATTCTTCTTATCTTACTTCTTTGGCCTTTTCCTGGCAGCAAAACCAAAGAAGCTCTCTTCAGCATGGAATGGGGGCAACCTGCTCGGTGCAGTGGCTGACTCCAATGCCCACGTGCTCTCTCTGTAGGACTGGGCTAAGGAGGTCAAGGTGGTTTATGTCAAGTGCTCCAATGAGTCTGTGTTGGTGGCCACCTTCCACTGCACGGACCCCACCAGGCTCATCACCTGTGGGAAATCACACATCTACTTTTGGAGGTAGGAGAGGGGCAGCCTGAGCAAGTGGCAGGGCCTCTTTGAGAAACTGAAGTACATGCTCTGCGTGACCTTTCTGAAGGGAGGCAACGTGGTCACCGGGGACTCTGGGGGGAACCTCTATGTCTAGGGCAAAGGTCAGTGTCAACTCATATGTGTGGTCCCCAATCCATCCTCCTTCCCGATACTTTTTGGTTTCTCCTTTCCTCTAACGTTGCTTATATTATATGATAAAACAGATTAAATTCTTAATCTGCGTAATTCCAATACCTCACCCTTGTCAAGGCTAAACTCAAAAATTCCATCCTCCATGAAATCATTACTGATTCTCTACCCTTTGTCTTTTACAAATCTCTATCAGGGATCAAGTCTGAACTATAAATGAATAGATTATCCAGTGGATGGATAAATGGATATGTGGAAAATTTGTCTTAGCCAGTGAATGAACAAATGAAGAAAGGAAGTAAAGAATGAAGGGATCATCTAATCAAGGAATGGAAGAATGAGTAAATGGCTTGTCCTCGCTCCTAACAGATTGGTGACTAGGTCAATGAACAGCAGTTACATGAATGAACAGGTTGTCACAATCAATGGATCTATGAATGGATGAGTAGAGGATCAAGTGATTGTCTTAGTCAATGGATTGATGTGTCATAAATGAACAAAATGACCCATGAAATGAATCCATGACTGAGATGATGGATCAACAAATGAATGAATGAGTGGACAGGTCATCCCAGTTTAGTAGGTAAGATGAACAAATGAATAAGTTTTTTGGCCTAAGCAATTTTTTCTACTTGTTTTTGAAAATATGTCCAGCAAAACATACAGTTCTACAATTTCTACATGTACAAATCAATAGCATTGATTACATTCTTCAAGTTGTGCAACTAATCTCTCCCTCCTTTACCAAACTATTCCTCCCCCATTAACAATGAATCACAACCCAAGCTTCCTACCTGCACTTAGCAGTTGCTGTTGTCAATTTGATCAGATAATTTTCCAAAAGAACACAATATTCTTAACCAAATAAATGAATCTTCTTAACAAAAAAAAAAAAAAAAGACTATTTTAGGAACCCTGGCAGCACAGTGGGTTACAGGCTGGGCTGCGAACCTCAAGGTCAGCAGTTCCAATTTCTCAGCTGCTCTTTGGGAGAAAGATGAGGCTCTCTGCTCCTTAAAGATTTACAGCCTCGGAAACTCTCCCCAGGGTTGCTGGAGTCAGATCCAGCATACCACACCACTGCATGGCATACCACACCACCACCAGAAAGTAGGCAGTTATGGCAAGGTATTTCTTTTCAAGTCATTTCTCTCTGGCCTAGCAAACTCTATAGAAAGGAAATACATTTTCAAGTCAAGTCATTATATGAGGAGTAAGAAAAATTTTCAAAGGTGGAACCGAGGCAAAAAGTGCCTAACATTTTTACTTAAATTTTATGAGTCATGCCTATTTCTAAGGCCACCATTCGACACCACTGACAATCATCTACCGAAGGGAAATTCCAGGGAAGAATGTGTGCAGAGCTGCTGACCCTTCACCTGTGTGTCTGGTAAAATCAGCGAGAGTTCTCCATTTCTGTTGAGTAACTGAGGTGCAGGCAGGATGCAGAGGAGCGGGTGGCAACCTTACATTTGCTCTACTACGTCAGTCCTCAGCCCAGGGTCAGCGCTCACGCAGCGTTCAGCGTGCACTTCGGGGAGTACTGTCGAGGGCACTGGAGGGCCTCTCTTACACACACTTACCTGGCTCCAGACACCTGTCTGGTGAAGAGCATTGAGCCAAGCTGAGTGACAGCTTTGTCATGGTGTTCATCTAGGGTCTGAAGTGTCACAGCTGAAAGAGAAGAAAGCCTAAGTTTACCAACCCAACAGTCCCTGTGAAAACAAAGTCAGTAACGAAGATGTGTCTTTTCAGTCACTGTCATGAGGCACAATTTCACTTTTATGCTCCGGAGTTTGGGCAGGAATTTGCTTGTCTCAGACAAAAATACTGAAAGGAACTGAGCATGCTCAGAAGGTGGACTCGCATTTCCAAGTCACCACTGTACACGAGGCATTTCCTACTAATGAGAGGCTCAACGGCAGACCAGTGACAGCACTTCATTCAAGCACAGCCAAATTTTAACAACTTGCAACATGAGAATTTGGCCCAGTATTAATGATTGGACCACAAACTTTTCTTTTTACTCTTATCAGCACAGTATATTTCGTATTGTAATACACACACACACACACACACACACGATGGGGCTTCAAGAAGTTTGTGGCAAAATGGAAGTGAAAAATAATTTTTCCGTGAGCTCTCTGAAGTCCTGCACATATATATAAAGTTAGATCAAAGTCTGTACATGGAAACTCTTTCTAAGGTTGTATTAGTAAACGGTATTCTATTCCCATCACCACTGACCAGGCTAGACACGTTATTCAGCATAATTGTGATCGATCAATCTGAACTACTACTCCACCTGTGAGGGATCCTAATCTCTATTTTATAGACAGCGACAAGGAGGCTAGAGGCCAGTTCATGGCAAAATCGGAATTAGAACCATGCCATGCCATCTCCTATAACATCTGCACAGGTAGATACGCCAGCACAGGGCTGGTATGGACGGTCTGGAATATACACTGGTGGTCAAATGGGTTGCCATGGGGAGCCCATCCTTGAAACATGTTTCAGTTACAAATGATTCATTATCCTTACTCAAGTAAATGCAAAAAAACCCAAGACATTATACAACACATAGTCACATGTAACAAGGGATAGTTATGAAGCTTAAAAGCTACTTAGTACTAGAAACGTCAGTATTCATATTATCCTTTGTAATTAGCTCTTATACTACATAGGGAGCACTGGTGTGGGACTGTGGTGGGTTACTGCATGCTGGACTGCAAGGGTGGTTTGAACCACAGGTCAGCAGTTCAAACTCACCAGGTGCTTCTCGGAAACCCTATACAAGGTCACTATGATCATGTTGGAACCAACTCGACAGCACTAACAACATACTACATAGAGTCCTGGTGTGGCGCTGTAGGATAAGCACTCGACCAATAGGTCAGTTTGAACCACAAGGTTGGCATTTCAAACTCATCAGTTGCCTCTTGGAAACCCTATACAGGGTCACTATGAGTCAGAATCAACTCGACAGCACTTAACAACAATATACTACATAATGGAATCCTGGTATGGCACTACAGAATAACCACTGGACTGCTAACCACAAGGTCAGCGGTTCAAACCCACCAATCACTCCTTGGAAATCCTATACACAGTCAGTCGCTAAGAGTCAGAACCTGCTTGATAGCACTTAACAACAACAACTACATAATAAAAATACATATTCCTTATACAAATGAAATTACTATAAATACAGATTTCTCAAATTTTAAGAACTTCAAGACAGGAAACAATACCATTAAAAACAATATCTAAAAAGTCTTCAACTGGTAGAATTTGGGTTATAAGCATGATTTAAAATATTTCTGTATATTCACTATAATATTTAACCTGATTGAGTCAGTGTAAAGGGTATGTCTGAGAAACATAAAAATGTATCTACAGGCTAATTAAACGTTCTCAATTTACAAATTACAACTAGTGAACTTAGAAATAACAATGTAACCAATGAAGAGTTCAAAACACAGGCAGAGCCTGGACTAGGAATGAGTTCTGTTCCTAAATCAGTCTTTAAGTCAAAATTTATATGTAAATTGGGACAGGTACAGTTCGTACCTAGCCAAATATGTGTCTTAGCAAATATGGTATCCCTTTCTTTGCTTAAAAACGATGAATGAAGTACCTACAGATACATAAAACACCTTTAACGTTACAGTGCTGTGAAAATAATGACAATATTTTGATGCACCATAGAAGGACAATGCTCTGATGCGCTGTTTATCGTTACAAACCACTGTACGCACCTCACATTTGTAATATGATAGGCTTTATAAGGTAGGTGGTGACTATGTAACCCGCTGACTGCTTGGATTGATTTTTTTTTTTACAAAAGGAAAATAAATTACCTAAAGATATGGGATTGTGAGGTGTATGCAACAGTCTTTCGTTGTAGGCTTCAGACAGCTTCTTTAGCTCACTGGACAAATATGAAAACATTTCCTGCAACAAAAAGTCACACTTAAAACAAATCAAATACTTACTGTAAATTGAAATATTTACTAAGACCAAATATAATTACTGGACATCTATATTGTACACTAAGGAGCCCTGGTAGAATAACAGATTATGAGCTGGGGTGCTAACCACAAGATCAGCAGTACAAATCTACCAGTTGTACCGGGAGACAAAGAAGAGGCTTTCTGTTCCCATAAAGATTTCTGTCTGGAAGACCCTATAGAGAGTCGCTATAGTCAGAACCAACTCGACAGCACACACCACCACCATGTACACCAGGATCCTAGTGTGGTGTATGTAGGGAAAGCACAACTATTCACTTCTTAGAAACGTTGTACAGGGCCACTGTGCATCAGAAACAATTCAACAGCACTTACAAACAAAACACTGCACACTGGAGTCCTAGTATGGTGCTATAGAATAAGCACTGGACTGATAACCAGAGGTTGGCAGTTCAAACCCACCAGCAGCTCCTCAGAAGCCCTATACAGGGTCACTATGAATTGGACCTGACTCAACAGTACTTAGCAACAACATACAATACCCTTGTGCCATGGGAGCAAGCATCAAATTGTTGTTGTTGTTGTTAGGTGCCATCAAGTAGGAACCGACTCATAGTGACACTATGTACAACAGAACGAAACACCACCCTGTCGTGGGCCAACCTCACGATTGTTGCCATGCTTGAGCCCACTGATGCTGCCACTTTGCCAATCCATCTCGCTGGGGGTCTTCCTCTTTTTCTCTGATCCTCCACCTTACCAAACATGATTATCAATCTCCAGTGACTGGTCCCTCCTGACAATATATCCAAAGTATGAGAGACGAAGTTTGGCCATCTTGGCCTCCAAGGAGAACTCTGGCTGCACTTCTTCCAACACAGATCTGTTAGTTCTTTTGGGAGCCCATGGCACTTTCAGTATTCTCCTCCAACACCATAACTCAAAGGCATCAATTCTTCTA